AAAAAAAAAAAAAAAAAAAAAAAAAAAAAAAAAAAAAAGTTTGTTTGCTATTCTTAGCCTTTTGCATTTTAATTAAATTTCTGAAGTAGCTTGTTGTCGTATTTCACACACACAATAAAACTATCTGGATTTAGTTGGAATTGTATTAAATCTATAAATCAATTTGGGGAGAATTGACATGCATAGAATAATGAGTCTTCAAATCCATTAACGTGGTATTTTTCTTAATTTGTATGGACTTGCTTTAACATCAGTAAAGTTTTATAATTTTCCCAGTAGAGATCTTACATATTTTTTATTAGGTTTAGTGTTAGGTATATATATTTTTAATGATTCAGTGTTTCCTCTTTATAAATTTCTTTTTTCTAATGGTTTGTAGAAGATATATGGAAATACAATTAATTTTTTGCTTATTGTTTTTATATCCAGCAACCTCGCTAAACTCTCTTACAAATACATGATAATGTCATCTTGAAATAATGAGAGATTTTTTCTAATCCTCATGTGTATATACATACATACACATATACACATTTTGTCCAGCATATTTTATTGTTTTCATTGGGAAGATTAATTTGAGTAACCCAATGTATCAGTACCAGAAACCAAACTTACATGGCATTTAAAAACGGTCTTTTATCAAGACAGTTGGCTGAGCAAATAATTTTCCAGTTCTATTTGATTTTGTTTGTTTACTGGTTTGTTTTTAGATTGACTGGTGACTGTTTCTCCCTGTATACTTCTTTGTACATGGTGCCTCCACTGACTGCAACATATTTTCCTTCCTACAACTATCCTGTGCTAAGATAACTCTTCCTTATCTTTCAAGATAGCTCAAGAATCATCTCAGGAGTCTTATGTACTCCATTTTAAATAGACAAAGTTGGATATACCCAATGTTCTTTATAGCAAAGAAGATAATATTTAACAACCTATGTGTTACAGGGCTGCTAGCCAACAGGAATAGACACACAGGCAGTAAGAATAGATGCCAGCTGTAGACACCAGTACCAGGGTATACTGAGAGAATGTCAGCTATGCTCAAAGCATGTACTACAATAATGTGTGATAAGATGTGAAGACTATCACGGTGCTTCTCATGCTGTTCTGTAATTTGCTGTTTACCTAACTCTTCTGGTAATCTGTGAGATCACTATGAACAGCGACCAATCATACTTACCTTGGAAATCTGTGTTGCATAGAATCTTTGTGCAAAGGAGGCTACAATAAAATTTTTTAATTAGGTAAAAGAAATCTATATTGGGGGAACTCATTAAATAAATCACCCCCTATTACTTCACAGCTTTAACCACTGGAAGTCCATGAACAATGAAATTTCACTCATCCTGGAATACCTCTGCTGAACTTTTAAACAAATCCTCGAATAAAGAGTTTGCTTACCAAACCCCCAGTGTTGTGGATACAGTCATCTTCCCTTCCATGATTGGGATTATCTGTTCAACAGGGTTAGTTGGCAATATCCTTGTTGTGTTCACTATAATAAGGTAAGGACCTTTTTCTTTTCTTCCAGAATTTAGGGAAACACACTCTAAACTCCCTAAATGAATCTTTTCTCCTGTAGGATTTTTCTTAATGAAATCAGATTTTGAGAGTATTTTCTTAAAATAAGTTAAGATATTTTCATCGTGCATTAAGTAACATCTGAGTTGCAGATCTCAAAATGGTAAGACTTAAGCCGATGCTTACTGCTGGGTCAGTGAATTTTTAGAGCAGTGACTCTCCATCTTAGCCATGTATTAGAATCACTTGAGGAACTTTAAAAAATCCCGATATGCCATTTCACCCCAGAACCATTAACTCAGAATCTCTGGGAGTAGGGCCCAGGCAGGGATTGAAACTGCAATGCAACCATTTTATTTTCCAGCAGTAAGAGTTATACTAAGAAGCTGACCCACTTGGGATGGTTAAAGAGACTCTTGTTCACTCACATGGGCAAAAGGAGACTCCACTTTATTACCTGAAGATGCAGGGAGTCACAGATAGTGAGCTGTTCCCCTCCCCATATAGACCATCCCCATAGAGACCAAATTGAAAGATATCTGCTTCCTGGTACCTCCTGCCTTTGCCCATATCCCCACCTAATTCAGGCAATGTCCTCCTTCCCCTCAAGTAGAGCATAAGGTTTAACCTTGAGAATAAGAACAGATTACTTGTTCTCTGTGGACTTGACAACATGGATTTAGAAGTAATGCACACATGCCCCACGACTACATGATATCTTTGCTATCCTGATTATTTTCACATTTAAGTTTTACTGGTTTTAATACAAAATGTTAAAATTTTTTGTCCTGGCCTCTAATCATACTTATAACAATCATTTTTTTAAGATATTTCTTCATATTTATATGTTATAAAAGACATTCTAGAGTACTGACTAGTAGGTGTTTTCAGCATTATATTAACACACAACTGCAAAAAACTTTTGAGGGGCTGGCCCGGTGGCGCACTGCTACAGTGCGCCGCTTGGGAAGTGCGGCAGCACTCCCGCCGAGGGTTCGGATCCCACATACAGACCGGTTCCCGCTCACTGGCTGAGCGAGGCGCGGGAGCAACACCGAGGGTTGCGATCCCGTTGCCGGTCCCGGTCCGGTACGGGGGCGACACTGAGGGTTGCGATCCGTTGCCGGACACGGAAAAAGACAAAAAGGAAAAAAAAAAAAAAACTTTTGAGAATCGTGGTACACTTTGAAAGCACAGTTGTAAGCTTATTTAGTCCTCAAAACATCAGTACTTTTATTATACTCATTTATTATGGGTTGACTATCCCCCAAAGTTGCATGTGATGGAAACTCAATTCCCATCGTAACAGTGTTAAGAGGGTGGGAAATCAGACTATGGTAGTGTGGAGAGCCAGAGCCTTTAAGAGGTGATTGGACCGGGAGGACTATGCTGTCATGAAGGTACTAATCCATTCATGGAGTGACGAGTTATCATGGGTGTGGACTGGTGGCTTTATAAGGAGAGCCCATGAAAGAGCTCTTGCCTTTCTTGCCATGTGATGCCCTGCATTGCCATGGGACTTTGTAGAGAGTTCCCACCCAGAAGAAGGCCCTCACCAGATGTGCCCCCTGGACCATGGACTTCCAGCCTCCAAAACTGTAAGTAATCAATTTCATTTCTTTATAAATTACCCAGTTTCAGGTATTCTGTTATAAGCAACAGAGAACAGACTAAGACACCATTTGAGGAAACAGATTCAGGAGAGTAAATAACTCATCCAGCATCACACAGCTAGTAGGTGGCAGCTCTGGCAATTGAATGCAGAACCTATGATTGCAAATTTCAGGTTATTTCCTCCATGCTAATGGAAACAAACACACACACACACATAGTTAAAAGTAGAAAGATAGTTGTTGGATTTACCCTGTGGAGAGAAGACTCTTCGCAGGACCAATTAAAAGCAAGAGCAGCCCTCAGGATGGTGATGCAGATGATGCTCACCATCCCCGAGAAGGCTCTTAACTGGTCGCTTTTCCCGGGTGGCTTCTCATCATCCAGTCCTCTCTCAAACTTGTACTGTCTCTATCTCTGCAGTTAGGTGTGGTGGATCAATGGTATTTTTTATACCATCCAGAATTTATTTAGTACGTTGGGATTCTACTCTTAGTGAATTCAGGCATTCCCTGTGTTCTGTAAAGCCATTTGTGAATGTCGAGCATTTTAAACTATTTTTTTTAAAGTGTTGGAAGCAGTTTAACTCAATATATATTACTAAATACCTATTGCATGAGTAGCACTGTCCTAACGGTTATGGAAATACCAAAGAAATACTATGGCAGTGTCTGACTCTAAAATGTTTATAGGCTAGTGGAGAAGATAAGATTCAAACACATGCAATAACTTTTAAAATAATGCAAGACATTAAAAACAATCAAGTGGGGTGGGAAAGATGGTTCAAATAATAAGTTTCAGGGAAGGAAATGGAAATAATCAAATATTTTCAGGCAACCTCAAGGAGGCAATAGTGCCAAGTAGAAAGTTTTAATAGCCAGAGACTTGGGAACATTTCCAGCTCACCCCTGTTGGCCTGTTGCACTTGCCTACTTCTTTCTTCTTTCCCTCAGGCCCCTCAGTATTTTTGCCTTGCTCTCCTAAGACGCATATGGTGTGTCCTACACCCAAGAGCCTTGCTCCCACTGTTGAAAAACCAGTCCTTATAAGGTGTTAGCTTTGCAGAAATGTTTGCACTTTTACAGGCAACATTTATATACAAAAACTCTTCATGGGGGATTTCAGGCTTTGTGACAAGCTGTTGAAGGGCTATATGGAGCCAAAGAAATTTCTTGGATCCCTCAATTTACACCAATAGACAGCAACCTAATCCCATCTTTTCATATGGTGACAAAGTTGGAAAAAAAGAAGAAATGTGCAATGTGAACTCTTCTAAAAGTTATTTCTGAGCCATAGCTTATGGAAACAGATTCTCAACATAAAGCCAGTATCTTTTAACTGGAAAAGAAGAAAATCTGAGCCATCATACTAGCCAATTTGTTTGTAAGGACTGTGAAAAATCTGTCATTTCTTCATATCATTAGCATTTTGTAGATAATATGTGAGAAGATACATTAGATATAGGAATGTCAATGGAGCTTTTCAAATGAATATTTTAATCTTTCAAAAGCACTGAGAACAACTTCATTTTAATTTTTATTGCTAAGACGTTAACATCTTTTTTGCAAATGTTTTCCAAAAATTTATTAATCTTTCAAAAATCATTTGAAAGCAACTTTTAATTTTTTGGGGGGGAGGGGGCTAGGAATTTATCTAACACTTTTTTTGCAAATTGCTTTCCAAAAATTTTAAGGCAATTTGTATTAATGTTTTCATCATGACATACCATGATCTTTCTTGTTACCTTCTTAATAGAAAAGTGGCTCAAATAAAATATCAAGCCTGCACTAAAAATAAGGAGAAATAGATACATTTAAAGAGTATTAATGATTTTCCCATTTATGGTAAAATGTACCAAAGATGATGAGCATCAATACAACTGTAGGTTAGTAAGATCTTAGGGATGCTGGAAAGCCAGCAATGAACTAATTTCTGCCTTGCCAAAGGAAGACTAGAAACATGTATGGAGAAATAGGTTTAAGAAAGATGGCACTTCAAGAATCAAATGTACTATCTGAGTGACTTTTTTAAAAAAGGAATATACAAGTTGTGCATTAGGAAAGTCACTATAAAGTAGTTAGGCCAGATCATTATTAGTCCGTTTTACCTGAAATTCATGGTAGGTTAAAAGGAAGCCAGTTTCGAAAATGTAGGAGGATAATTGGGCCAATTACAATATTTTCCCCTTACATTCCCAAGAGACAGACTAACAATCTCAACCTCGTACTTCACTATTTTCCACAGGCACAGTGGGCCTGGGAAACTACAGTCATGCGCTGCATAATGACATTTCGCTCAATGACGGACTGCATATATGACAGTGATCTCATGAGATTATAATGACTATAGCATACAGCCTAGGTGTGTAGTAGGCTGTACCACCTAGGTTTGTGTAAACACTCTATGATGTTCACATGACAACATCACCTAACGATGCATTTCTAGAACATATCCCTGTTAAGTGACACATGACTGTACTTTAATAAAGGAGATGACTGTTTTTCGTCAAACCCCCACCTCCACCTCCTGAACACATCTTTCTCCTGTCTGCTGACAGACCCACTTCAAGTGGGCAGAGACTCTCCAAGAGGTGCACTGTTCCCCAATAAATAAAAACTTCCCATTCTGTCACTCCCTGCCTTCATCTCCCTGTCAGTCAGCTCATTCACACTAAGTCATGAATTACTGAAACAGCTTACTTTTTAATCCTCTCAATGGTGTCTGCATTTTATACAGAGATTACAAGATGGACAGTGTGTTAACACAAAGGAATACTGTCTAATGGTGAAATTCCAGTTGCTGAGACACTCAGAGAGGGAAATGTTTTAGAACCTCTTCTTTTTCTCCCACTCAGCTTAAATCATAACTAATGGCTCCTCCTGACCCAGCCTTCTACCATTTCCAGAGAGTCAGCCAGACACAAGCTCTTGTTAGAATTGACTGATACCCTTGGCTGCACACATACCCTACTTTTTTTTAGATGCTAGAGCACCACATTACCACATCTGTTCAAATGAACTGGACCCTCATTGCTATGGTCCGGTTGGCCAATGCACCACGCTGACTCTGGAATCTAAAGGGGTTGAATGACTTGCCCAAGGGCACAATGAGTGAGGGCACAGAAATGAACATGGAACTTCCGGTTAGGTTCTCTTTCCATTATATTACGATATGTACCTAAAGCAGGGTTGGCAACTATGTGACTTGACTCTGAACTCTCCCATCCTTGGCAGTCATCTCTAATCACACAAGTCTGTCCTGTAGTAGCACCCGTGTGAGAACTCAGAATTCTTCTCAGCACAGTGCTTCAGGAAGTCACTATTAATACATTGGAGTTGGCTCATAATAGGGATTTAATTTAACTAGAGTTAAATGCCAAACAGGGGATGATGAGGTAACCCAGAAATTAACAAGAGCAGGAAGCCACTTCTGGGTCCTACCCCACACCACCCCAACACCAGCACCTTATTCCCACCCTGAGCTGGAGGGAGAAAGGGAAGAGGTGGTTTTATAGACTCCAGGAGTCTGGGCTGCCTGCTGGGAGCTGTAGCTGTTCCCGGACCTAGGATGCCAGGTTTGTTGGGAGTCAATGTCATAGAAGTGAACGCTGAACCCTTAGTGACAGTGAGCAAGCTAAATTTATTGAAAGAAACTTGTGCAGAAGGGAGTCAACATGAAGGAGGGGTGTTACTCCGCAGATGTTCAGCACAAGGGGTTTTTAAAGGCAAAAGAGCTGAGTCGGAGGCTTGGGAAAGAGGGTGAGATCTCCAGTCTTCATCAGTTGGTCACAAGGCGTTGCATTTTCAGCCTCAGCAGGTGGGACCTCACTGTTCTCTTGAGGCCTGTAAAAGAATGCTTACACAAGGAGGTTAAACAACCCTGGGTACTGACATGCTTGTGGGAAGAGGACATACAAGTGGGTCTTTAGAGCTTATCTTTTAACTCCTGCCCTCCCTGGTGTTTCCTGCAACAGGACGTGGGTCTGTTGTCCCTGGGGCGTCTGCTGCATTTCTAGCATGTAGACTATTGCTGGGTTCCTGGTGCAGACAATAAAATGGAGTCTCTCCTGCCAGCACTTTCCTTACTCCTGCCTCATAGCCACAGTAAGATCTGGGGCCATGGAGTAGGGGCCGCAGGAGGAAGCCAGCACCAGTGAAGAGATGCAGCCACTGACCTACATTTCAGCAGCAGAGAGGGGAAAGAAATACTCTGGCTTCTCTTCTCCCCCTACCCTCCAGTTTCCCACCAATGCTTCCTATTGGCCAGACCTAGTCAGAAGCCAGCTGTCAAGGAGGACAAATCTCGGGAGGATGAGAAGTAGATTTGAGAACAAGCAGGGGAGTGACCAGTACAGGAGCCTACATGTGTTTTGTTAGTTTTATTTAATCCATGATATATATTGTGATTTTTGTATTGCAAAAGGTAAATGTGGTTTTAATAGAAATTTTGAAAAATCATCAGATAATACAAAGAATAAAGTAAAAAGTCAATCATACTCCTACCATCAAGTAGGTAATCATTGTGATCACTTGACATTTTATTCCTATATATTTTTAAGCAAATGTTTAAATAAATTTGGAGTCACACTTCATCTCACATAGTCAATATTCTTTTTTTACTTAATATTATAAGTATTTTCCCATTTGATAAAATATTCTTCCAAACTATTATTTGTAACAGCTATATCATGTCTTGTGTGGCATTGTGAAATACCAGTATTTCTTTTACCATTCCTTAAATTAGTGAACATTAGATACATTCATGTTAACCATATGAAAAATATATCAGCCAAAACTATCACAAGTCTGTGTTTTTTATTTTAAACATTTGAGTCGTAAGAGACGTAAGTCTAATGAAGTCTGACAACAGGAAATCTGAAGATAAATTAGACCTAAAAAAAGAATGTTATACAGTTAGAAATTTTACAATTTCTGTATAATTATTTTTAATTTCTATGTTGTCACTTTCAATAAAGAAAGCAATAATAAACATATGTGTTGTTCATATTCCCCTAGCATGTTATGTCCAGATAAATACATCATTTGCTTCAGAATTCTCTTTGTGCTATAAAAAATGTCATCTAGAAACTCTTTCATTTAATTCTTTTTAATTATCAGTTAATGGCCTGCACCTCCTCAACAATAGAATTACCATAATTCCTTATCAGTAAATGATGGGTGCCTGTCTAGAGGAGAGCAAGGACCTTGGGTCTCATTGCTGCAGTTAGGACCCAAGCAACTGCTTATTGTTTACACCCCAATTCAAATGCAAATAACACCTATTTATAGGCTAAGATCAGTGGGTTGTTTTTTTTTTTAGTTGGAACTCCTTTTACCTGACCCCTGTTATCTGTCCTCCTTCCCTGTCCCTCTCCATCTCCCACTCTCAATGGCTCAAAGAGGACAGGGGATGAGAGACCAAGGACAGTCACTAGGCTGCCCTTTCAGTTGACGTGATCTTTTCCTCATGTTTCTTCTTCCTCTTGATCATTCTGATGTGAGCGACCAACCTCCTAGGGGTAAGGAACAACCTGTTTTACCAGTAGCATCAAAAATGACTAGAGTGTGGTTGACGAGTAAAGACTCTGTGGCAGTGACTTCCTGGCACAATGTATGTCGCCAAGGCCTGGGCAAAATATGGCCTCACCCAGTCCGATGTTTCATGCGAAGATTTAAGAGCTTAGAAATGTTCACAGGCTATAGAATTTGCAGCCAGCAAATAATAAAGACACACACTGGCTTCTAAACAACAGAGAAGTAGCCCTAGATCCAGCATGAACCAGCAATTGTGGCATTTTCTTAGGACTAACTCTTAAGTGTTTTTTAAGTTCTTATTTATCCTCAGTTCAGATGCCACTTCTACCAAGAAATCTGTCTTGACAGTCCCCAGGGGAGAAGGGAGAGGCTTCTTCTTTGTGCTCCTTGTGCTTGTCTCCAGTTTTCTCTCATCAAATTGTAATGTGATCATTTATTTATACACGTCTAGATGATAAGCTCCTTGATGCTAGCCTTCATAGATTATTTAGCCTTTTGTCCCCAGAGCACAATATTATGCCTGATATGTAATTGGTGCTCAATAAAATGTTTGTTGAATTAAGGAATAGCATTTCCCAGATAAAAATTATAACTTTATTATTGAATGTGTCAGCTTCCTGAATATAGGGACCAACTGAATTTTAAAATTAAATTCTGCTCTCAGAAAATCCTTTCACCTGCAGGTGAGAATGCCACATCTAGATGGCATTGCATTCCCTCCCCTCACCTGAGACATGAGATCATTCTCATGCCATCTACCAGTTCACCCATTTCAGATTCCTCTCCTCACTGTCTGTATTTCAGGGTCTTCATTAACAGTCTTTGCTATTGGGTTAGATTTTACTGGAATATTTCTAAGTAATCGTTAAGATTTTAACAATGACCTCAACTGCAGTAGGAAACAATGTGTTGTTCAATGAAAGCCATTTATTTTCACTGTTCAGCTGTTTTAGGAACCAGAAATGAGTAAGACTACACACTTTTGCCTGTGTTTGAGTGTGTTTAAAGTTGGTTTGATTTTTTGCTACACAGAAAATGATCTCAAAACTTAATGGCTTGAAACACTAAACATGTATTACCTCCCATAGTTTCTGAAGGTCAGGAATCCAAGAGCAGCTTAGCTGATTGGTTTTGGCTCAGAGTTTCTCATAAAGCTTCAGTCAAGCTGTCCTCAAGAGTTACAGTCATCCAAAGGCTTGTCTGGGGCTGGAAGATCTACTTCCAAAGTAGCTCACGCACACACCTGGCAAGTTGGTGCTGGTTGACTGTTGGCAAAAGGCTTCAGCTCCTTTCCACGTGGATCTCTTCATAGTGTGACTTGAGTATCCTCACAACATGGCAGCTGGCTTCCACCAGTGAGAGTGATCCAAGGCAGAGTAAAGAGAAAGTCCACAATGCCTTTGTGTCCAAAGTTTGAATGTCACACACTGTCACTTCCACCATCTTTTAATTGTTAGAAGAGAGTTATTAAGTCCAACTGTCAGAGAAAAGGAATTACGCTTCATCTATTAAAGGAATATCAAAGAATTTGTGGACATATTTTTAAACCACCACATTTAGTTAGATAAATAGTTCAAAATGTTTAAATATACGCAAGACTAGACATTCCTCTGTACATTTGTGTAGGTTTTCCTTTAACTTTTAACATTAATTATGGCAATTAAAAATTTGTAACCGGTGGTTATATTGAAGAAGGTACATACTGTCAATATCAATCCTCACTTTCCCTCCATTTCTTTCAGGTCCAGAAAAAAAACAATCCCTGACATTTATATCTGCAACCTGGCTGTGGCTGATTTGGTCCACATCATTGGAATGCCTTTTCTTATTCACCAGTGGGCCCTGGGGGGACAGTGGGTGTTTGGGGGGCCTCTCTGCACCATAATCACATCCCTGGATACTTGCAACCAGTTTGCCTGTAGTGCCATCATGACTGTAATGAGTGTGGACAGGTAAGTGAAGAAACTTTAAAGTATCTTAATATAACTCAGAGGTGCCTGTGCTTCCCCAAGCTCATTCCAATTTAAGCAATGTCGGTGCTGGCTTATAACAGCAAAGCTCCACTTCCTTTGTTTGTTTCATTGTGGGACTGAGTACTTAAGAATATTTTTTTCAACTTTCACAGAGGACTATTTTTCTTCATGGAAAAAGTAAAACATTAAAATATTTTGTCTAGTTATTCTTTTTAACCTCAGTTTTATCTGCAATTGACTGCAAGAAAAAAAAAAAATGACAATATCATGAAATACTGGAAGCCAGAATGAACTCTCCTCCATCATTCTTGCAATAAGGAAGCTAAGGCCCAGAAAGGGGAAGGGATTTGCTGGGGGACATGGAGAGTTAGTGGCAGAGCTGAGAACTGAAGGACTATTAGCCCTCACTAATCATCCAGGGCTATTTCTTGTATGTTCACTGTGTCACACAACTGTTATCACCTAGCAGCTCTAAGGAGTCAATGGAGTAGATGCAGGCTCGTAAACAGCTATGAAATGGTTTCCCAATACCAGGAAGACCATCTTTTACATACATCATTATGAATGGTTAAGGCAAAAGCTGACATTTTACATCATTAGAAATTTATTCCACTAGGTCCTAGAATGTGCCGTAGCCCTTTTCAGCAGCCATGCAAGATGATGTTATTTGAGGAGCTGATGGTGATGGTGAGGACGTATGGAGCCAATGACGGGTGAAGCCCAGCTCAGATCCCAGGCCTTCCTACTCTAGAGAGGGCAGGTAGTTTGTAACTACCTTATTACCTGGCACTGTAGGAATAGGTAAGCTAGGATATTTCCTGCATCATTCAGATGCCAGAACCTCCATGCCAGGTCCTAGCAGCTCTCCCCAAACACAAATGGGTGAAAGACAACCATAATATAATATGGTCAATAGTGATATGCTGTCTCCAAGAACAACCCACTTAAAATCTCCCTCCACCTTCTCCTCAACCCAACGCAATTGATCACCCTTGCTCTGATCTACTTTCTCTTTTTCCCTTGCTTCAAGTATATTACATAATTTACCTAATTTACTCTGTGTGTGTGTGCATTGTTTATTTGTCTAGTTCTCCCTAAACCTCAAACATAAATTCTACAGAGGCAGGGTCTTTGTCTACTAATGAATCCCAAATGTCTGTGTAACAATGCCTGATACATAGGTGCTCACAAAATATTAATGAATGAATGAATAAATGTCTTAAAAGATGTGTTAAATTTCCTGTGGTCCATCCAGGACTTTTTGCTGAGCTCTGTTTCTTGGACCCTGCCAAGTGGGCCTTTGGGGTGGGGAAGTGATAAGCCATTCTTCAGATGGATAAACAAAGCAATGGCAAGGTTCATAAAAATCATTCACTCTGACAAAAAATGAATGATTATGGTAATGTTTTATGCATTTTTTATATCCTCCTACTTTTTTTACAGAAGAATTCTCAAAATATAGAGTGTGCTTCTCAATTTATAATTAACACCACTGATTGATGTACTGTGTAGACCTGGTTAGCTCAGCTGATACCAGACAGTGCTGACCCGCGAGCTTGCCAGGGTCCAGCATCAGGGAGAGGGCCCTGCACAGGCCAGGCCCACTGTAGAAAAGCAACCTAAAATACAGGCCTTACCAATAGCAATCCCATTCTTGGGGATAATGAAAGCTTCTTCCTATCCTGAACTGTGGAAGTAGGAGAATATTGGCTTTTTTTAAAGAGGTATATGTACTCTTTCTGTAAACCTCTTACCGCAAATAAAGTGAATGGGCATTTTCTGCCTTGGAACAGACAGACAAACTACATATATTTCCTAATGTTGACAGGTTTTTTCTGTGTGTGTGCGTGTTGCCCACAGATGCATGTGTGTCTTATACACCTGAATAGCCTTTTTGTTTTGTTTTGTTTTAATCTGGATGGACAGACTGTGGTAGACTTTTACTTTATAGTTAAGACATTCAGGCCTTTTTCTTCTCCCAGCACTCACTCTAGAGGATCAGGTGGCAAAAGACAAATGAAGATCCTATAAAACTGAACCTTTTCCTCCCTGGTATTTCTTATAATTCTAACTGTACTAAACTCATAAAAGTTCAGCAAAATCTGCAATTTTGTAAAAGAGAAATGGAGTTTGCTTTGTAAGGCCACATATAAATTTCAGTGCCTTTGGTATACCTTATTGTTTATATACTTAAGTCATTTCAATTGCCAATTTACTAGATCGCACATTTCAAGTGTTTCCGATAATTCATTTTTTTCTCTGATTAGTAATAACTGCAAGTTACTTAATAGTGAATTTCTACCTCCCATAGCAATACAAAAAAATTGTAAGCACCCAAAATATTAAAACTATTTTCCTCCAAATGAAAACTACATAGACTTTCATTAGTAGCTACATTTTTTTTTTTTAAATAAATTCTCTGGAATTTCTAAAAGTCAATATGTAGAAGGCGAAATTGCCCATTTATTCATATAAATCCCCATATGCCGGGGATTGCCAGATGCAGGGGATACAGTGGCCGTAAACCAATAGTCAAGGCTCCTGTCCTCATGGGGCGTACATTCCAGTGGTGTAGACAGACATTGAGTCACACGAGTGAATGCATACTTCCACGCAGTGAAACGTACTAGGAAGGAAAAGTGGAGGCCCCCTGCAATTTGCACTTGCAGTCATGGGCCTTTTATAAAGTGGGTGGTCAGGGAAAGTTTCTGTGAGAGTGAAAGTTACATAGGGACTTGAAGGAAGAGATGGAGGAAGTGGAGGCAAATCTTGCCAGGCAGCTAGAACAGCATGTGCCTGAGCGTGAAAGAAGAGCTCAAACGAAGTCAAGAGAGAGACCAGCCCAAGCTCCAGCCCAAGTGGCAGGCAGGGTCAGGTGGAGAAAGACCTTATGGGTCATGATAAGAATTCTGAATTTTATCTGAAAGCCAATGGAAAGCCGTTGAAGAGTTTTCATCTGGGTAAGGATGCTAACAGAGAAGATTGCCTCATTGATAGGTGCCATGACTCCACCTTCCCATAATCCCAGTCAGGGTGATGTCTGGGCTGTTATGCAGACAATGCTCCATCCTCTTCCCCAGTGGGGAGGGAGGGGCCTCCTCGCCTCGGCCTCAGGGAACGCATTCGCAGTGTGCACAGGAGGGGCGGATGAGGAGCCTGGCCCAAACCTCTCCCAACCACCCGTCATCGCTTAACTGAATGCAAAACGTCCTGCCTCTTGTCCAAAACGGAGAGATCAAGAGGACAGGGTATTTCTCATTTTTAATGAGACTTCATTAAGTAGCTCTACAAAAACCTCGCCAAAATTAAGAGACCATCGAAACTATTTTTTACTTTAATTTCGACGACTACGAACTTCCACCACCTCACCTCCCAGCAAAACTGTACTTCTCAAATAACCCTCCTTCTGAATCGGAGCTTTCTTCTTCATCCTTCAGCTTTCAGTTAGCTCTGAAAAATTCGTCTTGGATTTGCTGAAGGACCAAATGTATTTTATATGTCAGGATTTCGAGTTTGATTAACGATTATCCTTTCGTCTGGGTCTAAAATGGAAAAGGAAAAGAAAAACCCCTTCTTATGAAATCAACCCACTTCCTCCCTCTGGTCTCTAGCCTAACTTTCCTGAGGAATTTGCATTGTCTATAATAACTACACTCGTTCATCCTCCCTGTGATTTCTGTGAACTGAACCTCCAAGAGCAAAGGAGCCATTTCCTCCTGGAGGAAATCCCTGTTCAGAGAAAAAGTTTTCCAGAGCCTTGTTTACTGGAGAAGCACCTTGGTAAAGAAAGAGTTTGCACTGTGGAATTTTACCGTTGCCCGTGTGTTTGTGGCAGTGACAGCTATTTCAGTGAGTTTATTCAGACTTGCAGGGTCAAGAGTTGTTTTCTCTGCAGGTACCAGCCAGCTCTTAAAAATATGACTTTCCTTTGCCCTGATAGAGGTGTGCTTTAGGGAGGATAATAATACTAATAATTTACTCTTGTTGTGAACCTTTCATCCTTGGAGCTCAGTGCTTTTATTGATTGTTCCCAAAACCTTCTTAACTGGCTTTGCAGGTACTTGGCCCTCGTCCAACCATTTCGACTGACAAGTTGGAGAACAAGGTACAAGACCATCGGCATCATTTTGGGCCTTTGGGCAGCTTCCTTTATTCTGGCGCTGCCTGTCTGGATCTACTCAAAGGTCATCAAATTTAAAGATGGTGTCGAGAGTTGTGTTTTTGATTTAACCTCCCCTGACAATGTACTCTGGTAAGTCGTTAAAACTTAAGAAAAATGGAGTTGAACTAAGTTGTGAAGTACTTCATCCTTCTTGTCACCACATGTGTGGCTTCCAAAAGTGTCCTTGGAGTCTCCCTGCTTAGTTTTCTTCCTTACACAATCGAGGTGATAGTTTGATCTTAAGGAGAGGGTAACCTTTAGAAAAGACTTTGAATTTAATCATGTAACCTCAATGGGCACAAATACAGTTAAATATGGATTTAAAGATCAATGACAGCCAGATGTGGTGGGAACGCAGCAATCAAGGGAGGAGAAGAATTTCCAAAAGGGTCTAAGAAGTAACCCAGACTCCAGCTTCATCAATACGCAATTGTAGTTTGCTTGGATTGTGTTCCACCCCTCCACCCCCCCACTCCCTAAAAATAAGTTCAAGCCCTAACATCCCACCCCACCCCATACCTGTGAATGTGACCTTATTTTGAAATAGAGTCCTTGTAGATGTAACCAAGTTCAGATGAGATCATACTGAATTAGGGTGGTCCTTCAATCCAATGACTGATGTCCTAGTAAAGAGAGGGAGACTTGAAGAGACACCGAGAGGAGAATGCATGTTAAAACAGGGGCAAAGGTTGGAGTTATACGTGTAAAAGCCGAGAAACACCAAGGATTTCCAGAAAGCACCAGAAACTAGGAAAGGTGCATGGAACAGATTCTCCCTTGGAGCCTCCAAAAAGAACCAATCCTGCCAGCACCTTGATTTCAGACTTCTAACTTCCAGACCTGGGAGAAAATAAATTTCTGTTGTTTAAAGCCATTCAGCTTGTGGCAATTTTTTACAGCAGCCCTAAGAAACAAATATAGCAACTGACATAGCTATTTCTGACATTTTAACTTGAAAAGAAAAATTAAATAAAAAATTTGTATTTGAAATTTTGAACATAGCATCACAGTCCATGACTAACATTTTTCTAGCACCTTTGAAGGGCAAGTTACTGTGCTAGGTGTTTTTACATATGTTATCTCAAGTCAGTCTGACAGATCCCTGTTTCCCACTCTATCACTTGTCAAATAGATGAGTCATTTCTGCATCATGTGGACACAGCCCAAGAGGCATGAAGGTAAAGGACGTGCAAAGCCACAAATCCAGGGGAAAAAAAACTTCATTTGAGTGCATGTCTTAGGTCAGGCCACTATAACAAAGTACCATAGACTGGTGGCTTATAAAAGACAGAAATCTATTTCTTATGGTACTGAAATCTAGAAATCCAAGATCAGGATGCCAGCATGGTCAGGTTCTGATGAGGGTCCTCTTCTGGGTTGCAGACTGTTAACATCTTGTTGTATCCTTACATGGCAGAAAAAGAGACAGGAAGCAAACTCTCTGGTGTCTGTCTCTCCTTAGAATGACACTAATCCCATTCATGAGGGCTCCACCCTCATACCCTAATTACCATCCAGAGGCCCCACTTCTTCATACCATCACATGTGCGTTAGGATTTCAACATGCACATTTTGGAGGAACACAAACATTCAGTCCAAACAGTGCAACATAGATAGGATTGATTGTTTATTCATTATTTCTCCCACCAGCACTGGCTTCACTTACAGACAGAAACCATCAGCCCCTTGAAAGGTGAAATAATAATCATTGCTGCTGATAACCCAACCTATCGAAAAGGAGAGCACCTGAGACTCATTATGTGGCTATACGACTTTGCCCACGTCAAATAACAAACAAAAACAACAAAAACAAAAATATGAGTTATTTTCACACCAACAGCTGCTTCTGCTGCTGCTATTCTGGATTGGTTATCATAAAGGATATTCTGAAATTGCAGCCTCTGTTTTTCCTCCTAGAATCAAGTCCTTAAGGTCAACTGAGACTGGAACTACTGTACCACATTCAGGGTCCCTCTGGTCCCAAGTACTCTCTCTGCCACCCGGTCCACACTCAACCAGTCTCGGCCTAACTCCTTTCACTGAGACGAGGGCTCTGTCAGGAATGAGGAACATGGCATCTGTGTAGGAATGGAGTTGGTTCACCAGAGAATTCCCTCCAGAGGAGCATGGAGGAAAGATGGGCTGATTTTATAAGAAGCCCTTCTCTGTGCCCATTGAGAGGCCACCTGGAACTTTGGTTGCAAGCATGGGCCCTGGAGCATTGACTGCTTGCCAGCGTTCAAATCCCACCTCTGCCACTTACTAGCTGGGTAACTGTGGGCAAAGCACTTAATCCCTGTGTGCCTCAGTTTCTTCTTCTATAAAGTGAGGATACTAATGGCTTCATACCCGTGGGGTTGCACAGATACAATGGGTTAAAATACACAAAGCACTTAGAAAAGTGCCTAGTACATAATTAATGCTACCTGCTGTTGCCTGTTGTTGTTAATAACACTAAAATTAATGATAATAAGTAGTTTCACCTATTCTGTATTCAATACAGTTGGGCTTGGCTATATTGAGTACAGAGAAGAGACAAGCAATATTGTCAGAAAACAATGAAGAGGAGGACTTCTGTATGATAAATCACCCAAAGATCCTTGACTTTTCCCCAAGGACTTTTATTTGGACCCTGGTGAATCTGAGAATCATGCCTCATAAACTGTAAAAGCCAATTCCTAGCACACTGAATATAACAGTGATATCTTTCTCTCATTTTACAGGTATACTCTTTATTTGACGATAACAACTTTTTTTTCCCCTTTACCCTTGATTTTGGTGTGCTATATATTAATTTTATGCTATACTTGGGAGATGTATCAACAAAATAAGGATGCCAGATGGTAAGTGTTTGCTTTACTTTGCTTTATTTGTTAAAAGAACAATTCACTAAGAAAAGAACAAATCCTAAGACATCTACAACAGAAACTTAAGCAACAATCACTTGAAACATTCCACACTTAGACATTTGGGCATTGTTACATTTTTTCAGAAGGCATTAGTAATCAATAAAACCAAAGACTTACCCAAAGACAATGATCTCAGGAAAGACCTTTAAAGATAGTTGTCTTTAAAACTGCATAAATAAATCCACATTATTTTCGACTTGAAATTGTGTATACCAACTTGTTCAAATGAATGGGTCAGTAGTTATATAACTAATGTTGAGTAAACACATGTTTAAATTTATTAAAATTTGTCTTTTGAATGGATTTTTGTGTTCCTTTTGGAAAGGCAAGTTTACTGTGCTTCCCTCCACACTATTTGTTGTAACACTATGAAGATTTAAAAAGAAAGAATGCGAACAATTCAACCACCATTAGTCAAAAGTTGTGGCAAACCCTGGAACCAAAGGTTAAGTAGTTTATTGGCTCACAATATTTTTTTTCCACTTAGCTTCTAGAAATTCTTTGGAAGTCTTACATTTTTAAAGAGTGGTCTAGTTAAGATGGGAAAGGAAGCAGCCACAGTTATAGAAAAAAAGATTTAGCTTCTCAGTGTAGCACAGGAAACTGAGTTGGTGAGAAGATTGAAATGGAATCATGTGGAATATTAAGACACCAACAGCTAGAGAGGATGCTTTTGAGCCCTTTTAAAACAGTTCTCCAAATCAGATCGTTTTGTTCCTAACACTTTCCTCAAAAATGCTAAGAACGTCATATGCAACAAAGCTTATACTGTCTAGTTATGCTTCAAAATGCAAAATATTAGAGGAGGGATGGTGCCTACTCTGATGAACAGCCAAGGAATCATCATCTTAGGACAATTTTCAGCTCCCATGCTTTTTTTCATATTATTCCCAAGCCTTATTCATCAGCTTCTACCATGTCCCAGGGAAATTTCTATTAAATGTGTAAATATGATATAACATGATAAAAACTGGGAATTTTTAAGTGTTCTGTTTTAGAATAATTTAAAATTTATAGAAATGTAGATAGTACAGATCTGTACAGATAATACAGAGAGTTTCCATGTACCCTTCACCAAGTTCTCCCATTGTTAACATCTTACATTACCATGGTACATTTGTCAAAACAAAGAAAATGAATACATTACTATCAACTAAATTTCACCCTTCACTGGACGTCACCAGTTTTTCCATTAAAGTCCTCTATCTATTCCAGATTCAATCCAGGATAACATTGTATTTAGTTGTGTCTTCTCAGTCTCCTCTGGTCTGTGGCAGTTTCTCCCTCTTTCCTTGTTTTTCATGACCTTGAGAATCATAAGGAGTACTGGCTAGGTATCCTGTAGAATGTTCCCCAATCTGGGTTTGTCAGATATTGTATTATGATTAGACTGTAGTTGCATGTTTTTGGAAAAAATCAGCTCTTCTCATCGCAGTGTTATCAGTGGTCACTCTATAGCTACATGACGTCACTGTTGACATTAGCCTTGATCACTTGGTTAGGATAGTGTTTTGCCAAACTTCTTCACTGTGAAACTACTCTTTATCCCTTTCTCTAATCTGTTCCTTGGAAGTGAGTCACTAAGCATAGTCCACCCTCAAGGGGAAAGGAGGAAGGTGGGAATTAAGCTCCGTCTCCTGAAAGAGGAGTATCTATGTATATTATTTGGAATTCTTCTGTAAAGGTTTGTCTCTTCCCCTCCTATTCTAATCAATTATTTATATCAGTATAGACTCATGTATATTTATCTCATACTTTGAGTTATAATTTGATATTATGTTATTTATTTTGTTTCTCAAAATGTTCCAGCTTTGGAAACTTTGGGAAGTTTTTAACAGGAATGAAAAAGAATCTTTTTACAATGTTTGAAATAAGTAGGAATATAAAAATGAGCATTTCATTTCACTGCAAAGCCATTATGAACTTTCCCAAACTTTCTAGGAAATCATTGCCCAATAATTTCTATGGTTGTTTATGTTCTGTCTCTCTGAATGTTTCCTTTCCAGCTACAACCCTACTGTTCCAAAGCAGAGAGTGATGAAGCTGACAGTGATGGTGCTAGTGCTGGTGGCCGTCTTTATCCTAAGTGCTGCCCCCTATCACGTGATACAGCTGGTGAACTTACAGATGGAGCAGCCCACACTGGCCTTCTATGTGGGCTATTACCTCTCTGTCTGTCTCAGCTATGCCAGCAGCAGCATTAACCCTTTTCTCTACATCCTGCTGAGTGGAAATTTCCAGAAACGTCTGCCTCATGTTCGAAGGAGGGTGACTGAGAGGGAAATCAACAATATGGAAAACACCCTGAAGTCGAGCCTTTAGTAGAGTGTATGAATCACCGAGAGTCTAGGTCAGGATTGTCTATGCTGTTGGTATTATTACAAAGGGCAGGTGAAGTGGTATGCTTGTGCCCATTCTTCTTGTGTACTTGTGACTCTTAGCAGCATGGAATAGAAGTGTAACTATTCAAATGCAATGAGTTTAATATGATCATTTTAGCAAGATGTAAAGTGTTGATCTGTATTGGGGCTAGAGAGTGACATAGTCTAAGATACCCAAGTTCTGTGGCTGTGTATGTTATTTCAGCATGTTATAATCTAGTTACTAATAAAAATGACCATGCATGACCATTGGCTCAAAACCCACCAAGGAACCTGACCCTACCATTCACTCTGCAGCCTCACTGTAACAGTGCCCTCGAGGTTTCTAGGAGGGGACCGCCTTACGGTGAGGTCTGAAATCTGGCCATCTTTTATCTGCAAAAATGTCAGTTTCACATGCTCCAATCTAATACCTTCAATAACCAAGCCTCACTTTTTAGAATAACAGTTACCATCCACTACACACATGCAATGTTTAAGATCACACATAACACACCTGTGACATAAGTGTTATTACTTCTGTTTACTAAGAAAGATTACGTAATAGGCCCAATGCTGCACAGCTATCTAAGAACTGAGCCGAAATCCAGGTCTGCCTGTCTTTTCTACTGCACCACCTTGGCCACCCGTACTTACCATACTGGAGAGAGCCAATAACTTGGGGTCTCTTTTGCTTTCTCCTGCAGCCCCATAAGAAAAAACTAAAAGCTGAAAGAAATAAGTTGATGATTTAAGCATATTCTTTTAGATTTAGCTTTGTTCTCATACCTGCTAATTGTAGAAACCAGCGTCTACATTTTAATTATAATACTTCACTTCAGGATGTTAAGCATCATTAAGAAACATTCCCCTTAGGTTATAGTATATGTTTTTCAAGGACACAAAAAGTAATTAGCCTTCAAATTCATAGATATTCAGTACACCTATACTTTTCTCTTTTGGCTTGTATAAAACATGTCCTTTGATAAAGTTAGAAAAGAAAAAAATTCTTTTGAAGCCTGTATTCTCAACAAAGACAAATACTGTTATTTTGTTAATGGATGAAATCTGTAAACCCACCTCCTTCATCTAAATACATAAAATTGTTGCTCCACAAACATCTGAAACTGATTTTCAATCAGCCCTTTTTAGAAAATGAATCACAGAGACCAGCTTTTTAATGACCTGATCTCCATTTTTATATCTCAATTTTATTGTAATCAACTTGTATTTGAATCAACCCAAACACATGAATTTTAACCCAATGTATTTGGCTATAGATCTTTTAGACAACATTTTAGAACAAGGTAGTATCTAAATGTGTATCTGGATAAATGGTCGTGTAAAAAATGTGAGAGCTACAAACTGTGACAGATCACATCTGAGACATTTTAGTTTCACAGCTGAGGTCTGGCATGGTGCACACAGAGCTAGATGCTCCTTTATAATCTCAATCAAAAGCTGTGTTGTGGCTACAATTTCAGGGACCTTCATTCTCACTTTTCTAAGATGCAGCAGTCAGAATTCAGTGAATAACCCTGACATATGAAGACCCAACAGTGGGTCAGAAACAGATGTTATTATTTAATAATTGAAGAGCAATTGTTTACTTTCATGTTCTCTTTAAATACAGAAAATATTATGATTTTAAAGACTTAAATGATTTTAAACAAACAGACATTTTTCTTTCCTTGAACTTCTTAAGATAAGTGAATGCCTATGATGCTGATGGGGGGAGGGGGACAGAGGGAAGGGGAAAAATGAAGAATTGGTAAAGGGACACGAAAATCAACTCCATTGTATATTGATAAATTAAAATAATAAATAAATAAATAAAATGACATATGTAGATTTGTTCTCAGAAGACTGACAAAATTATTTCCAGGAATAAGAAATAAGGAATGAGGTTCCTCTCCACAGGTTTCAGTGTTGTGTACAATGCTTTGTGCTTTGGAATTCCTGGTGTTGGTAGACTTGGTTTAAGTTCTAGCCTGATCAATTACTAGATGTAAAACTTTGGTAAAACTGTTAACCAAACTGCTTAATTTTATAGATTAGGAAATGGATCCCAAAGAGGGTAAAGTGATAACCCAAAGCCACACAGCTTTTTGTTGTCAAAGCAAGGGTAAAATTGTGAAACTCCTGACTCTTAGACCTTCCCCATTTCCACCACATCATTCTCACTCAGTCTATA